CCTTCGATCTACTTACTTGGTGAGTTTCTTCACCTGTTCTAGGTTGTCAGCCCTCTCCCCTGTGGTCAGTGTTGATTTCCTCATGGCCTTGTAGCTTCATCATATCACAATCCTGCGAGAATAGAGACGAGCGTTTGTCCCGTTCGTTTCATCGGACATCTTCCACTAGCAGCCAATGGAGGCAGGGAGGCCGAGTATAAAGATCATATGAGAATATCTTTTGTTTGGTGTTTTAATAATTTTGTTAGTATGCGTGGAATCTTATTTAATAGTTATTATATTCTCTGGTGGATTTGAAGTCTTATGCTGCAAAGTGTATGATAAAGTTTACCATATTTACACTATATATTAACAATCCCTTGACATGCATTGGTTTAGTATTTAAAGAGCCTTGCCTGTCCCAGTGCATTTAAACACGATGTATTGTTGCTATTGTTTTCAGAGAAATAAAAAAACTTGTATCTTAATGGAGATATTGATATTAAATGACGAAGAACCTTGCTATTTCTTATGAAAGAAGGCCAGCCATAGACGGAGACGTTGTGCGACAATGTTTCCTGTTTGGTCTTCAAATATAATATTCGCAGTTTGGATGAATGTTCGTATTCGCTTGTTAACGGATTGCTTTTAATGGAGAAGATTTTATTATATAGTATAATTAGAGTATTTATTATATATATTATATTAGTTATATAAACCCTATCTGAATAACAATAATCATAACCATGTATACGTAACACATAATATACAATATGTGTGTGTGTTTGTTTGGTGTGTATTAACATATGTATATGGTAGTGAGTGGGGTATTATATGTAGTATATTATATTTAAGATGAATTAAGCTATTTTCTCTGTGGGTGATTTGATTTTGCCAACACAATCACACAGCAGACACACAGCGCCAGGAATCCAGGTACAGCGTAGCAGTGCACGCCCAGAAATCACCACGACTGGTACGGCTTATATATATTAGTATAATTAGATATATTATAATTATGATATATATATAATATCTTACACACGAATATGAATAACATTAGTGTGTATTGTATGCGTATCACTAGAGTTATTATCATAAATATATTATTTAATATATGTAGTCTATTACTATATTATTATATATATAGGATCTAATTATTGTGTCTATATAATCTACGTATCAATTATAAGTGTATATAGTATAGAGTCTATTATATTGAATCATATATTCAATATGTAATTGTATCATTAGTATTATATATATGTTATTATATTAATAGTTAATCAACTATATAATGTATAATAATAAGCATTGTGCGTGTGTGCGATGTTGTGTGTGTGGTGTGGATGTGGTGTGCTGGTGTGTGTTGTTGTTGACTGTGTGTGTGTATATTAATATTATAGAAGTCGATATCTATCGCCGTTATAGTATATTTATATATAGTATTATATCTTAGTTGTGTGTGTGTCGTGTGTGTGTGTGTCGTGTTGTGTGTGTGTGTTGTTGTGTGTGTTGTGTTGTGTGTTGTGTGTGCGTGGTGTGCGTGTGGTGTGTATGTTGTGTTATTTGTGTGTGTCGTATTTGTGTGTGATGTCTTCCATGTGTGTTGTATGTGTATAATATTATCATAGTATGTTTATGTTAATATATATACCCATTATATGTTATATATTATGTTATACGTACCACACAGACACCATTACTGGACGATATATGAAAGGGTGCAGGACCACACACTCACACACCAAACGACGCAACCACACAACGCGCACACGGCAACACCACCAACACCCGCCACACACGCACAAGCACACAACACACACAATCTATAATAATCTATCATTATATATTATATTAATATTATAGATGTAAATTATCATTTACTTATTTGTGGACGTCCATGACAGTGAACCCATGGTCCGCTGAGCCCAGTTTGTAGTGGATTAATAAGTGTTGTACATGCCGCGCTCTTGGGTTGGCGCAATAGGTCACAGACAGGGTAGTTCATCACAGACAATCTCTAGAGGTGAAGTGAGATTGGGAAAAAAAGAACAGGGTATTCCAGAACTAGGGATAGGATCGGGAATGGGCCATACGGTGATAAGATTATGAAAACGAATCAAGTCACGACAAGTGTGAACTCATATGAAACAGGAATACGTATCAAAGAATAAGCATGACAGGGCTTTTTCTCTTGTCTCACTGGTGTGCGTATTCGTCTTGATGATTTGGCTCTTGTGGTCGTTTCTCCTCTTCGTCTCTATATATTGTTATATTACTGTATATTATAATGTACCATAATATTATATATTATGTATGATTAATATATATAATTTATAATACATAATAATACATCATATTATATATATATATTAGTAGTATATAATATATAATTTGATAGTTATTATTTATTTTAATACATATATGCTCGACATTCTATCTACAAGTTTACCATGTTCAGCTGAACAATTTTTAGACTGAAATTTAAAAGGGAGCCTAAAAATTTTTTTGCGAGAAATTTATCACACAGGCAAATGAAAATGACAATTGATGATAATGCTTTGCTTCCATAGGATTGCCCACTAATTATCATTTTACATATTTTTTTCGAGGATAATTTGCATGTCACATAATAACAACAAAATGAATACCACTGGTCAAACTAACCTACTTTCACTTCAATATAAAAGTTATTACGTATTCTTTAAAACAGTCAAACCTATACATTGTCAGGGAACGCTAAAGAGCCAGTCAAGTTCAGGGCATTAAGTGAAATTCATGGCCAAGTTTTCATCAAAACGTTAGTTAATCATATATCCCAGCACTATGCATAGTCTAAAAACGTTTCTGAAACTGCGTGGGCTTCCTGTGCTCACGAATCGGAATCAGGGAGGAGGCTTCCCAAAACTGCCTCAACCCACTCCAAAAATATAAAATATGAATTATGAATCTTGAAATATGACAAATAATACATATGGTTGTCCTTGCTATGGTCGTGTAAGCAGGACTGTGATTAGGGAAAGCTAGATCAGTAGCAACTCGAGAGGTGTCATGGCGCCTGATTCAATTTTTTGGAAAAAGCGCATGGGGTTTATTTTGATGACGTCACAAAAGTTACGGATGCTTTGTGAATATGTTCGATCATTTTGGTCTTTTCAATTTTCAAAGAGGATGGAAAATAATGATTTTAATGGTTATATTTTCATTGAACAATCATCAAAACAGACGCCATGACACCTCCGAGTTGCTACTGATCAAGCCTTCCCCACTGTGATTCTACGGAAGTTCGTCTGCTATTCGGGAAACAAATGACGTGTACAAAGCTGAAACCTACGTATTTGTTTTAGTTAAAAGGTGGGATGAAAAAAGTGTTGTACCGAATGAAGACTTAGATTTGATATTGAGTGCGTTGCATCTGATTTCCTTGTTTTATTTACTATCAAATATAGCAAGTGGCAACTGCATTTCTTTATTATCAGTCGATATTGTATTTCACACAGAATTATCACCGATGGATATGGTGGAATAAAAAAAATATTGTATATATTTGCGTAAGACGGCAAATCAGTTATGGCGAAAGCAAGTGTTCAGTATCAAATATATTTTAATTATTTGTGAATATTAAAAGAGTTGTATTTCATTTATGTTCTTGGAATGCTTACTATGAGATTCAACTTGAAGATCGGCGAATAATAGTTTTCCAGAGCAACTGCTACTCCAGGAAATACGTATTATTTAGCGGAAGTGGCTGTAATCGCTAAATGGTGACGGAACCTTTGAATGGAGCGTCAGTTACTTTTTAGCATTGAACTTGTCAAGAAAATGTAATTGACGCCTGAAATAGTGTATATTAAGAGATGCTTTAGTAAATCCGTTTCTTCTCGACAGCTAATCAGAAGGACCAAATTGAAGTGACATACAGCAACTACAACCAAGTTTAAAACCTTTGCACTTTCGTAATGATAGAATTTGTAGATAACCGTCCTCAGAATTATGAAATGCGATGATAATAACCTCATTTCTGGGTAAATGACTTTTGTACCCACTGCTAGCATAACCACGTGATGTTTTCTCGATAACAAACACCTACTAAAACTGCATTCACTATATCAAAGACGATATAGTGTGATAGCAGATGATAATAAACTAGGTTAAGCATTAGCAAGAATTTATCCAAAGATAGACAGTACATATATTCATGCTCCTAAAATGTTCCAAAATATAATAATTTGATGCATATTTTATCTAAATTCATCTTACATTAAGAACTGTTCATTGCAAAGACATTGAAATCAGTGTTGCCATTCTAGCGATTTTCTCACAAGATTCAGCTTTTGAAGTGATCAAGCGAGAAAAAATTGGAAATTTACTCTATATTTAGCGATTTTCTAAACATCCTTTTAGCGAGAAAATGCAGAGCTTTTCTCTTATGTCTAGCGGGTTTTCAATTCCAGTCTAGCGGTTTTGTGATAATATCAATGGCAACACTGATTGTCATACGAGCAGCAGTTTTACACATACGGAGGCACTTCCGACCTCGGGACTCCAGCCACAGACAACAAGCGGAGATAAATGCTTTCAACAAATCTTTAAGGCTTTATTGTAGACAATTCGTCAGGAGACCAAGAAAGAGGAGAATGTGTACATATCATGATCATACAGTAGTCGCACACACACACACACACCACACCACACACACACACACCACACACACACACACACACACACACAACACACACACACACACACACACCACACACACGTAATTGTGATGATATTGGGCGGTTCCTCATATTTTGACTGCTACATTTCGATTCTGTTGCGAAACAATGATTTTTTAAAGAAATGCTTTATTAGATTTTACATTCAAGCCGTTAACTGCAGTCGTTCAGCGTCCTCTGTCAGCCTATGACCGACAGGCTCAGACGATGCCCGTGATGGGGGCGTGAGTGCAAACGGCCCGGGCGGCGCTGGCGAACTCGGCGCCGTGTACCCGTGTTCGCACAGGCTCATCGCAGGCTGGAGGACACGCAGCGCATACGGATTCTGGAAAGGAAGACAACGAGGTGTCATGCCGAGTTATTCCTCTTCTCTGGCTAGAAAGCGCGGGAAAACCCTCCACCCACCTGAGTTATTCCTCTCTATGCAGAAGCGGGAACCCCCTCCCCCTCCTTCCCGAGTTATTCCCTTCTCCGATCAAACCCGGGAAACCCCTCCACCACCTCTCCCAGGTTAAAGCAGTGCCGGTGGAAAGCCTCGACGGACTCTTCGTAACACAGCCAGCGAGTGACGGTGTGACGGCGGTCGCTCATCATGCGGTTCGCCGCGTCCTCGTTCCCCGTCACGCTCAGCGCCACCCGGTACATGGTCTCCGTCACCCACGTGCGATTCTGCGTAATATTAAGGTTATTTCTTTAAATGTTTTAAAAGGATGTTTGAGTTCAGGTCTAAAACCGAAAGCAAGAGATACAAAAACACATCAAGATTGATCATTTAAATTTATCTGCCGCGTCACACAGCTAAGGTCCTTGGCGGAACAGATCAGGGTGGAAGACAAACATATTATAGGAAACCTGAGCATATTAGAAACATAAATAATGGTTTATGCTTATAAGGATGGGAGGGAATCCACGCCGCCGCCGCCCCTTACCTGCTGGAGCTGGACCATTTGTTGCGCCCAATAAGTGGCCTCAGTCTCGTTCTGGGCGGAGGCCATGCGCCCCTGGATGATGGCGACGGATACGTTGGTGCTGTCGACCGACGTTTTCTGGGTTCGGAGAGAATTGCGAGATGATTCCTTTGTAAAAACATGAGCATAGACATAACCTACAAGTATTCGCATATAGCTTTTAATAATGAAAAAAGGTTTGTACTTGCAGAACACCAGTTACTAGCGGTGAATTTTCTGTACACAATAAGAGTTATTTTACGTATTTTGCGCCTACCAAACACGGATCGTTGAAGGGCGGGAAAGGCCCGAAGTCACTCAGCTCCGACTCCTTGCTGCCGAGGAAGTTTGAAGCCATTTCCTTGCCTATAGCCTTGTCCCCCCACTGCAGCACGTGAGAGACGTTGACTTCTTTCCTCACTAGATGGAACTGCTTGTCCAGACTCTCCTTCGTGATGTCCTCCTGCGGCGAAAGGAAGCTCTGGTTTGGTTTTTGTTCAGATCGAAGGCGGATGGCTAATTGAGGAAACTTCGCTTCGTGATTTATAAATGAATATTAATTTATCTATATCTATTTATATAATGAATTAAAATTACGCAAGATGAACAAAAATGACTATTCGACCGTGTAAATTATACAGCGGTAATGGTACAGCTGAAGATGAATATGTAAATACACCTCTTTCATCAGGTCAACACCAAAGTCTATATAAGTACTACTTATACAGACTTTGGTCAACACAACAGCATCACGCTTTGGCAGCTTTTGCTCATGAAATACATAGGAGTACTCTATTGCCCTTCCTATTTATCTGATTTGACAGCAAGCGATTTTTTCTCTTCCCTGAAATCAAACCTCTACTCGATTCGAGAGTTTCAGATATGAAGGACATAGCAGAGATTCTGAGATGACCGAAGTAAGACCTGCATTGCAATAGCAAAGAGAGCCCAGATTGCAGTGTGTGGTTGCAAAAGGGATATATAATAGTGGTAATGGAATGAGTTTTCTTTGTTAAGGTTGAATCACATAAATAATCTCACAATCTACTACCAACCCCCATACATAAACAATATACAGACAAACAGTGACAGTTTAATGGGGCTTGCTGATGTCCCTCACCCTGTCCGTGTCCTCCATCCACTTGACGCTGAAGACGTCCCCGAGGAAGGTGTGGAGGTGCTCGTCCATGTAGCAGGCGTAGGACGGTTGCGTCGCATTGGCGGCCGACAAGGCATACACTTGGTGGAGGGGGAATAAATAAATAATGAAGAATCTAATTGCATTCTATTCGTTACAAGGGTTATTCTTAGCTTGACAGGCTGTCGTTTTATAGTTGCGGTCGACAAAGCATAAACGGTGGAGGGGGAATAAAGAGATATTAAATAATATAGTTGCATTCCATTTGTTACAAGGGTTATTCTTGGCGTGACAGGCTGTCTGTTTATAGTTGCTTCTAAAATGTCCCCTGTGTGCATGGAATGGCTGGGGTTACCATCCACTGGCGGTGCGGGATTTGAACGCGGGTCAGCAAGATTGCTATTCGAGACCGCTACCATCGCAGCACATAACACACACGGGAAAAGGAGTAGGGTATAAAGGGTGTAGTGCTATGCCTCTTGGGGCAGTTCCTCGTGTTTTAGATGCTAAAATTAGTTTGGCAAAATATATGTCGATGGGACATACTTTGGAAAAGATATCGGCTCCCGTGTCCCTGGATTACGGATATTCGTTACAGCTTTTACATAGATAACTAACCAAAATCTCAATTTATTGCTCAGAGGATGGAAGCGAACAAATACTAGTTTAGAATTATTCTATTTGAAAATAGGATACTTAATTTTGGTAAATTAATCATAAAACAGTTCGGAAACAAAAGAACGAAGAACGTGAACGATGATGAAGGTAAATTATTTCTTAGGTAAAGAAAAGAAACTCAGACACCGAGAGAGTGATATTCATAAGAGAAAACCAAAGACAAGTTTGAATTCTTACCGTTAATGTCATCAGGAAGAAGATTCTGGAACATCGAGCCAGACTCACATGACTCGAGATAAATCACCATCTGGAAAAGGTCATTAAGTTTCCTTGAAGGTTTACCGTGAGGAAAGACGTAGTTCAGAAGAAATGGAAAACAAACTGCATTTGTGTTTTCATTCACAGGCTAGTGGAATATTCAGAAGCTCGATTATTTTTGTCGTAGGCAAAAAAAAAAAAAAAAAAAAAGAAAATAAAAAAATGAATGATGATATTAATGCGGGGGTATGTGAGGCAATTACGTGAGGAAAAATATCAACGAATTTCAGGTTCAGGCGACGACCCTCCACCGACCTCCTTGTACTGCTTGTTGCGACTCATGTCCAGGATGGCATCCGAGAAGTTCCGGGCGTGGAGGAAGCTGCGCGGGAACCCAAAGATGCCGGGCGCCCCGTGGTCCACCAGGTTGATGAACACGCGGTCGTTGGGGCCGCTCTTGAGGACCTTCCCGGACCCGACGCCCTGGAGTCCTGCAGCGTCGCCACTAAGGACCTTCAGGAAGTTCTCGGGAGTGACATCCATGCCGGTGTAATCCTTAGGGACGCCCTTGTACACGTTGGGTCCGTCGGGGCGGTTGATGATCACGCCGGGCGTCGGGTTCCTGAGAGTGTGGGTGAGACGTCCGAGCTTTTGTTACGAATCTTCTTCCACTCTTTCCAAGAGTGGAATTTTTGCGTTTCCGAATGAACTTTCCATATGGAATTCGACTGACCCTATCACATTACCAAGGCAGCAAACATTGCCCATGTAAACAAACAGCGCTATCGGAGGTAGGTCCCGGGAATCACACGAACATTCTCATACGTTTTACGTTATTTTAAAGAAATGTGATGATGTATATTGTATATACGAATGTTTTAAAATATTAGCTTATGTTTATATTCATTCATTCTATATAATTTATCAACAAAAAAACATTCTAGCTGTATAGATCTTTCGTAGCACAAGATCAAGACGGAAACGGTCGCAACCGTCTTCATCTGGGAGGCGTTCCGTTTTCAAGCGGAAAGCCTCAAATTCAGACGGAAACGTTAAAAATTGACGGAAAATCGCTAATGTGATAGTGCCTCAAGGCAAGAGAGGTGACAGCCGCACATCATATCCAGTGAATAAAGATGCGACTTACTCCCTGCTGTTGGCGATGTCGTCCGCCATCATGACGATGATGTGGTCGTCCGGGACGCCGTGCTGGTGGAGGATCTGGTAGGCGTGACACACGTCCGCCTGAGACCGAGGGACACTTCGTTACTCTTCAGGAATTAAACCTTTTTAATGGACAGTAATTCAAATACAAAGCACCTAAAAATCTGCCTCGCTAGATGGAAGAATAGATATATTCTCATCTACAACTCGGCTAAACACGCTTCGGAGACCTACCTGGTGGCGGTAATTCATCCACGACGCGGAGCCTGCCACCAGCACCGCCCACAGCTCCCCTTGGTCATCGGCACTCAGCACATGGCACCCGCAGAGGGCCACCGCACTCGCCACTGCCAGGACTGCCAGCCACCTCATCTTCGCGGTTCTCTCAACGGTAAAACCTTCTCGAGGATGGCCTTCAAATCCCGATTAGAGTCAGAATTTCCGATGGTTTCTCCTGTGAACAAACGGCAGTAAAGTTCATCGCTCGTTTTTAAAGTATTTTTACAAACTGACGAGATTGGATAAACGCGGCAAAACAGGTGGCGTAAATATTTCAGTCGGAATTGCACTCAGTACCTTGCTCTGAACCCGTAATAAATGATAAAAATAAGTCAATTAATTATGCCGGGCAAGAGTGGAGTGCGTCACAGATAAAACCAAAATGTAAACAAATCAGGGCACGTTTGTTGTCCTCGAATGGGGTCGGCGACCAGCAAGGGGTGCCATAAATCGCATCCAGAGGGTCCATTTCCTACGGGTATTATGAAGGACTTTCGCCACTCTCGCATCACTCCATAGAGACCAATAGATTCTATTCGTCCTCAGAGCAGTCGCAGATATAGAGACGTGAGGATGAAATCAGGAAGGACGGCTGCCAGGCGACCTTCCCTCGGCACAGCACACATGGGCGTAGGTGCAGGTGGTTACGGGCTCCTATCTCTCGGTGTGGGTGTGGGGGTATGATGACGGGGGGAGGGGGAGGGTGTTATGAAGATGGGGGAGTAGGGGGTGGGTAGGGATTTAAAGGAATCAGAAATATGGAAGACATCATCGTCATCATTATCATCATTGGCAAAGTTATTATCATTATTACTGTTATCATTATTATTATTATTACTATTATCATTATTATCATTATCATTGTAATTTTCATTATCATTATCGTTGTTGTC